CCGAGCAGGCAGGGGGACGTAGTCTCCCTGTCACCGTCGGCATATCGTAATCCCGAGAAGAGCGCTGTGGTCAAGTCTCGCGGCTCTGATCGGCGTCGAGGATCTTGGCTTAACCGCCCGGACCGCGAGGAAGAAAACCTCTTTAAAAAAATCCCCGAATCCCGTGTTCTGGTGCGTGGCCAAGGGATGCATGGCTGATGGGTAGTTCAGTCGTAAGCGCACTCCCAGCCGGGGCACTTGCGGACCCCTCGGTTGGGCATAAACTTACGCTTGCAAGGGTATCGGGGGATCTCTGCCAGGGTCGACTTTTATTTCTCCCCACTCGTGGGTTTAACATGGATATTGGAAAAAAAACAAACAAAGGAAAAGGGAAACAAGCAGGCCAACAGGCAAGCCAAAAGGACAACGAAATGGTGGGAAGGAAGGAGAGGGAGGAGTCAAGGAGTGGTGGAGTGGATCTGGCGTCCACTGAGGGTGAGGTGGTGTTGGGAACGCCTATCTCGATGGGGCTCCCAGTAGACAGACTACAGCGTCTTCGCTTCAGGTCGGTTGCTTCAGCAGACGGTGGCTCCAGTGTGACGATTGACGCACTGGACGCTATGGAGGCTGAACTCCGTGACACTGGGAGCCGCAAGAGTGGACGCTCTGGAGAGGAGGAATCCTCCTCCTCTCCAGAGCGTCCACTCTTGCGGGTTGACCCCTCACAGGACATGCTGCCACCTAAGGTGGCCGGCAGCCAGCGAGGACGGTCACGGACGCCTTTTTTTTACTTATTTTTTCCGCCAGAGGCGCGCCCTATTCGGGGCGGTCAGAGCCGCCACCCACACCGGTGCACCATAAAGCGCCATGGACCGGACAACCCCCGCGTACAGCCGCCTCGTGGGAACACTGGCCCCGCCCAAATTGGGCAAAAGTCGCCCTAGGGCGGAGGCAGTGTCCACCAGCTTCGGACGGTCACGGACGCCTATCGCAAGGTCGCGTGCCCCTGTCCCCGTTCCGTCGGGCTCCGCCTTCTCTGGGGCGGAGTCTTACAGGCGTGCCCGAGCGGAGGGCGAAGCCGTAGCGGAGGAGGAGATCGCAGATCTCCTGCTTAAGATTTGGGAGCCGGTGGAGGGAGATGCCCCCCGGGCTCCCGTGTCTGTACAGTAGAGGACGAGAGCGGCGGTGGCTATCATCCACAAGGTAGCCACCAAGTCGGTAAACCTTAAGGGCTCTTTTGTGAGGGCCCTTAAGGACTCCTCCTCCGCTGTGTCGGAGGTCGTGGAGGGCCTAGTAGGCGATGTGTCTCGCCTACAGATGGCCAATGACAGGTTGACGGAGCAGGTGAATGAGCTGAGCGCTCAGTTCGCCAGTTCGCTTGCGGGCGAACCTCCCCGAGCGGGGGGCCCACGTCCCAGCCTGTCCCTACCACCACCTCAGGGGTACCTGACGGCGCCGAGGAGTGGAGCGGCTTTCCCTCCGCTCCCCACTCCGACACCTCTGCCGGGCCCCTCCGCACCTGCCCCCTCCAACGAGGGTTGGCAGGAGGCGAGGGGTTCAAAGAATTCCTGTCCAGACGAATCTCAACCACTGTGCCGCGGCGCAGGATCTCTTCCTGCAAACCATGGCACAGTGGTCGATAGGTGTTACCGTAGTCGCGGAGCCCTATTTTGTCCTTCCCCGTCCAAACTGGATGGGTGACCGGGACGGCTCCGTGGCAGTCGTCGGCTCCACGGCGGCTCATTCCCCGCCCTTGTCGCTAAGAGACAAGGGTACTGGATATGTTGCCGCCGATTGGGGGGGAATCACTATTTATGGTGTATATTTCTCCCCAACCGGAGTTTGAACGACTTTGAGGTCTTCCTTAACAACTTGGGAGGTCTCGATGCGGCGACTAGTGTCTGGGCACGTCCTCGTGCTGGGGGACTTCAACGCAAAGTCCATTGCGTGGGGTTCCCCTGCGACGGACGCCAGGGGCGAAGCCGTCGAGGAGTGGGTGGGCCTCTGTTTGCTGAACAGGGGCTCCACCAACACGTGCGTGCGACAGCAGGGGGGTCGATAGTGGACCTTTCGTTCGCTACAGCTGCACTCGCCGCACGAGTAAGGAACTGGTGTGTCCTGGAAGAGTTCGAGACGCTCTCGGATCATCTGTACATCCGATTCGAACTCTCCCGATCGCAGGACCACAGTAGGGGTCACGCGGCGCGGCGCCCTTCCCTTTTTCCGCGGTGGGCTGTCGCCAAGCTCGACAGGGACCTACTAGAGGAGGCGGCCATTATTCACTCTTGGCTGTCTCCGCAGGCCCCGGCCGAGGAGGTCTACATGGGGCTGGTCGCTTCTGCGATGCGATTACGCAGATTTGCGATGCGGCCATGCCCCGCGTTCGTGGTTGTCGGCCTCTAAGGAAGGAGGTCTACTGGTGGTCCCAGGAGTTGGCGGACCTCCGTGCGGCCTGTGTACGTGCCCGGAGGTCCCTCACCCGTAGTCGGCGACGTCACTGCGGGGTCAGTGAGGAGGTGGACCGGCTTCATGAGGAGTACCGAGAAGCTCGGAAAACTCTGAGGCTGGCCATCTGGAGGCCAAGGATGCTAGTAGAAAGGAGACGCTGGAGAGTCTCGAGCGTGACCCCTTGGGTCGCCCTTATCATGCGGTGCGTCAAAAGCTCCGCACGTCGCCCCCCCCCCTTACGGAGACTCTCCAGCCCAGCTTCCTGCAGGAAGTGGTCGAGGGCCTATTCTCGCAGCGGGCGGCGCACACACCCCCGTCGATGGCTGCATCAGCCGGAGACGACGGGGGTAGCGAGGCTGATGTTCCGCCCGTCAGGGAATCGGAGTTGGGGGCGGCTGTTCTACGGATTCGATCCAAGAACACCGCCCCCGGGCCGGACGGGGTTCCAGCCCGAGTGGTGGCCCGAGCCCTCGACTACATGTCGGACCACCTGAGGGTAGTGTTGGACGCTAGCCTGGCGTCCGGACGCTTCCCCGAGCGCTGGAAGTGCGGGAAGCTGGTCCTGCTGAAGAAGCCGGGACGGCCTGCCGATTCGGTCGCGGCCTATAGGCCTATCGTATTGCTGGACGAGGCGGGTAAACTTTTGCGAGACTTAAAACACCTTTGCGAGGTTTGCCCCGATCTGTCGGACGCCCAATTCGGTTTCCGAGAGGGGCGTTCGACGATCGATGCCGTGATGCGCCTTAGGGCCGTGACCGAGGAGGCCGTGAGCTGCGGCGGAGTGGTGTTGGCGGTGTCCTTGGACATCGCCAACGCCTTCAATAGCCGCTCGCCGAGCCACCATGGTCAGATGGTCGTTCCGGCTGGAGACTCCACGCGCTGGCTTCACCGCCGTGGAGGCTCTCCAGCCGGTCATCGCCGAGTGGGCAGGGCGGCAGCATGGGACCCTTTCCTTCCGGCTGACGCAGATGCTTTCCGGGCACGGTTGCTTCGGAAAGTACCTGCAGTCGGTCGCCAGGAGGGAATTGAGTCCGGCCTGCCACCACTACGACTGCAGTGAGGACTCGGCCCAGCACACGCTCGCGGTCTGCCCAGCATGGGCGACGCAGCGAAGGGGCCCTCGCTGCAGTCATCGGAGTGGATCTCTCGCTACCGGCCGTTGTACGCTCCATAGCCGGTAGCGATAGTTGTTTTACCACGGTCGCAATCTTCTGCGAGGAAGTAATCTCGCGTAAGTAAGTAAGGAGGCGGCGGAGAAGGCTCTGGAGGACGACCTCCACTCGTCCACGCGTCCGGCACACGCGGACGCCGCCCCCTCGCGGCTGGCCAACTAATGCGGGTGGAGGGGAGAACCCATCCCGTCCACCCGCGGCCACACTCAGGGCGGCATGAGGCGCAGGTAAGCGCGCCTCTGCCGCCCGGTTCGCCGGCGGCGGATCAGGTCCGAGTGGAGGTCGTCCTCCCGGGCCTTCTCCGCCGCCTCCTTCTGCGAGATTACCTCCTCGCAGAAGGTTGCGACCGCGGTAAAACAACTGTCGCTACCGGCCATGGAGCGAATTACGGCCGGTAGCGAGAGATCTGCTCCGATGACTGCATTGAGGGCCCGGCGCTGCGTCGCCCATGCGGGGCAAACCGCCAGCGTGTGCTGGGCCGAATCCTCACTGCAGTCGCAGTGAGGCAGGCGGGACTCGATTCCCTCCTAGCGACCGAGTACAGGTACTTTCCGAAGCAACCGTGCCCGGAAAGCACCTGCGTCAGCCGGAAGGAAAGGGTCCCGTGCTGCCGCCCTGCCCACTCGGCGATGACCGGCTGGAGAGCCTCCACGGCGGCGAAGCCAGTGCGGTATCCGCGTATGGCTCTGACCGCCAATATCCTCTGGGGGCGCCAGAGGCGCGCCCTATTCGGGGCGGTCAGAGCCGCCACCCACACCGGTGCACCATAAAGCGCCATGGACCGGACAACCCCCGCATACAGCCGCCTCGTGGGAACACTGGCCCCGCCCAAATTGGGCAAAAGTCGCCCTAGGGCGGAGGCAGTGTCCACCAGCTTTGGACCAAGCTGTCGGAAGTGCTCGTCGAAGAGCCACCTACCGTCTAGGACCAGACCCAGGTACCTCATCCGGGCCCGGACCGGTACTAAGACCGAGCCGACCTCGATTGAGGCGCCGGCGGGCGGACCACGACGGAGGTTTACACTGCTATGCTAACCTATAACACAACTGTACATTGTACCACAAAATTTACACCTTACGAGCTTGATCTGGTCGTGAACCTTTACTCCCAGATTCAATATACCATTAAGATCCTAAAACTACCTATTTTATTAATAAAAATTAATATTAAAAAATGTTACAACACAAATTAATTAATTCTAGAAACAAAGCTTCGCAACACGCTCGCCGCCACTTCCACTTCCATTGAAAATACTTGCCATTTTGAACTCAAAATGGCGGCTTCGGATTAGTGATGTTCTGTTATATTCGATAAAGTAAATCAACTATATTATATTGTCACAAATTTTAATAAATTTTTAATTAGATAAGTGAAATAATTGCTTTTATTCTTTTATCCTTATTATATTCTTAATACTGGTGATTCTTCTGATATCGCTTCACAAAAACTTTTTTCTAAATCTTGATTTCCTTCAGCAAATGGCCCTCTAATAATACCTAAGTAAAATTGTAAATCTTCTCTTTCTTGCCATTCTAATCCAAAATGTTTTGCCAACAATTTCTCAACATCGGTTATTTTTGCCTGCGTCACAGGCACTCCCGTTGAAATGGGGATAGATTGAAGCATGCTTGTATTTTTGCCAGTTTTGCAGACATTAAAGGCTTTATTTGTATCTGAATTATAAAACTGTTCACCGCGAATCGCAATCGGTTATTTTGCATGGCCATTTCGCTGTCGGTTTGAAAACCTCTTGAGTGGCTCTTTTGAAGTCTAACATAATAATATCCCTTAGATTCGTGATCGTCGCATGACTTGAAATGATGTCGCAATATTCTTCTGGTTGGATGAGTACTTCTCGTTTCTTTAGAACCTTTTCTATATTGCCGAAGACTCTGTCCGGGGGCTTAAAACTATGTCCTGTCACGGGAAATATTATTTCAATACGTTTGACAGAGATATTTTCAAATAACCATTTAGATAGCATACTTAGCATTATGCTATTTTTATTTTGCCCACCACATCCGTCGGCAAATAAGCGTATGATAGTGATTCCTGATAAATTCGTTTTATTCAATCGATCATAGACGGCTGATGCTATTTGATTAGCTGTTTTACCAAATTCGTTTTCTGTCCAGATGTATGCAAAGGTTGTGTTCTTATTAAGCTTGTCTTTAGAGGATCCTTGCACAATAGTAAAATTATATAAGTAAAATTGGCGACTGTAGTAAGCACTTTGGTCTGGAATTCGAGGTAGTGGACTGTTTTTCTGGCAATCAAAGGAGAAGGTTATCATATCGTCTTTTTGCTCCTGCAGCATTTTGAAGAACGCCTTTGCTCGTAATTTATGCACTCTTAGTGCAGTCATTAACCCATTTTTCTTGATCCGATCGTTTTCTTTATTGATTCTCTCATTCAATTCAATACAAGTTGAGCAGACGTCAGTGCTAGGGGTACCGAAACCTAAATTAAATTCTCTATTAAAAATATGGCGGAAGTATGATTGTTTAACAGGAGATTGAGGATTTTCGCCTCTAAACATTTTATACAGCTTGTTTATGCTCAAGTCACTAGATAGGTATTTGCGTTCTTGAGAGAATGATCGACAAATAATGCGATTCAATACATTTTAGTTTCATACTATATTGTAGAATGGACTCCTTCTGATCTTTAAATTTATTTATCTTACGATTACCCCCTCTTCGTTCCCTGGCAATCTCCCCTGTATAAAATAAATGTTTCAAAGCATACTCTACACGATATTTTGTCATGCCAAGTATATTCAGGAACGCTTTTTGGCAAACAGGAACACAATCATTGTGAGCTCTAAAAACGCTATACCTTATATTAAAATCTCTACCCAATCTTATGCTTTTGGTAGGACGCCTTCTTTTTACCTTCTGCGTTTTACAGCACTTCAGTATCAAAGCATCTTGTTCACTCCGTTTATTTGAGGAATAAAACGAACTGTGAAAATTCATAATATCAGTCATTGTTAAACTTGAACATTTTAGATGTTCATTTTTATGTGAACAGATTATTGGTTCTGGTCCTTTCTTTGGCATGTACCTGTAAAATAGAAAAAAAATTGCTATGGTTTAAGAGAGTATCATAACTTTGCAACGTTTCAATTTTCCGTTGGCTAAACTCGGCGACGAGGGCAGTGATTTCAAATGTTGGGCGTACATCACCAAGGAAAATAAAATTTATTGTAAACTAACAGAGTTTGCTTTTCTCTTGGGCCTATGAGAATGTTAAAAAAGCTTATAGAATTGTTCCAGATGAATTGAAAAGTCCATGGAACAAGTTGGGCCCGTGCACGGTCCATCTTGAAATACCACCAAACTCGCATCTAGAGACGCTTTTTGTATCAGAACCCGGTATCTACGCTGTACTAGCGCACTCAAACAAATCGCAAGTAAAAAAGCTTATGCGCTTCGTTTACGAGGCATGGGTACCCCCTGGCTACAAGCTGGTCGTCCAACGGAAAACATTCCAAACGGAGTCAATGTACTTAATCGCACCAAGGAATTGCTCCTCCGTGACTCGTACAAATCTTGTTATAACAATATTCGAACCAACGTAGATGTGCCAAGTCCTGTGAAAGACCTGTTATCGATTATCCCAGTCTATTTATAAGACCTATTAAATCAATACGCGGGAAGTCCCCACTGCTAAAAAAACCACTTGACTCAGGTGCGTAATGTTATTGTCAAAATAGATTATTAAAATATTGTATTAACATAATATTCTAATAGTATTTGGAACTAAAAACGTGTAGGCACATCACTAACCTTTTCTTCTTTGCAATATTAGCTTTCCAATTCTCGGGGTTTCTTGTTCTGTTACGAGCCTTGCCCGCACTTGCTCTTGTTACAAAGACCTCCATGGCTATCCAAATTCGAATTATAGCAAAACAATTGTCACGTAATTCAATAGAAACACAAGAAAAACGCCAAAAACTGGAAGATACATTCGCACGAAATGTATGGGGCGGCCATGCTGTTTTTCCGAAATCTTGCTCTCTGATTGGCAGGCGTAACTCTTAGCTGTATTTGATTCTTACTGGTTGGCATGTAGCTGTCTTTGATGCAAGTATCGATTTTTGAACTGATTTTTCTATGGATTTAGCTGCATTTAATAGTAAAATGAAAACACTAAAGCGTGTCCAACTAACTAAAGTAGATGGTGCCATAAGTAACTCATTTTACGACATTATGGCGTTTAGCTGCCTTTGATTTTATAGGCCTCAATTAACACATATATTAGTATAGTTAATAAAAATAATAATAATAATTTATTCAAGTAAATAATTTGTACATGGCATACAGTGTTGTCTTATAATACTTAAATTTACAAGAAAAAACCAGTACAACATATATACAATAGTCATAGGACTCTCTTTCCTAAACTAGGCAGGGAACCTGTGTGTATCTTAGGTAAGAGTATCCATTTATTTATTTATTATTTATTTATTACAACTATGGAGGATTTACAGCTATGATGATTACAATAAAAACAGTCAAGAAAACAGAAAGCCAATAACAAATCCTCACTTATATAAGTCAGAGATAAGTTACAGTGCATAAGACAATACAGAATAGGATCAAGAGGTATTATATAAGTTACAGGCACAGATCACCTACAAATTACACAGAACGTAATAATATACACACAAAACAGACAGGACCCATAACAATAACTACTCAGACCCCCCACCATCACCCCTGAAGAATTTAAGGCTTAAACACCTCCTCGCTCCCGTTACACTAACATTAAAAATATCAATTCCAAATTGTTCACACACATTATTAAGGCTTCTAGTTGAACGAATAACAAAAGAATTTTTTCTATAGTTCGTCAGTGCAAATGGTACACTCAGCGGTGGGTTATAGCGAGTTCTTGACGGAATATTAATATTAAACTTAGATAAAAGTTCGCAGCAGTCAATTTCGTTACTGAAAATTTTTAATAATAGGGTACAATCAGCGATTTCACGACGCGTTGTAAGGGGTAGTAAATGGTACTTCTTGCAAAGGTCAAAGTAAATTTCCGAGTGATAAGGTACTTTCTGGTGAAAGCACAAATATTTTATGAACCTTCTCTGGATATTCTCAATTCGGTCTACATATTTTTGGTAGCAAGGATTCCAAACTTCACATGCATACTCTAAATGGCTTCTAACAAAGGTGCAATACAGAATTTTTAAAGTTTTTGCCTGTTTGAAGCTCCTAGACAGTCGCATTATGAATCCTAATGCTTTAGAAGCTCTGGCAACGATTGCATCTATGTGTTCTTCATAGATCAGCTTCGAGTCATGCGTGACACCCAGATCCCGGACGGAAGCACATCTAGGCAGCGAATCACCGTTTAACTTATAGGCTGTAGTTATAGCGGATCGCTTTCGCGAATATGTCACCACCGAGCATTTTGTAGCATTCAGATCTAGCTTGTTGTTTCGACAGTACTCCTCCAAACGAGTCAAATCAGCTTGAAGCGCGGTCATATCCTCAAGTGATGAGATCGCTGCGAAAATTTTCATATCGTCAGCAAAACATAGGAGTCTCGATGATCTAAAGCATAATGGAATGTCGTTCACGTATATCGTAAATAGAAGGGGTCCGAGCAAAGACCCCTGAGGACAGCCGCTGGAGATAGGCACCCAGCCAGAGATATAGTTATTAAGAACTACAGCTTGAGTTCTATTCTCCAAATACGAGGAAAACCACCGCAGCAAGTCTCCATGGATACCCATGCCATTTAATTTTAATAGGAGGATATCATGATCTATACGGTCAAAGGCCTTGCTGTAATCAGTATAGACCACATCAACCTGCTTACCTTTGTCCATAGTGTCAGTGATAAAATCATTTAGTAAGGCAAGATTAGTGACAGTAGATCTGCCCTTTAAGAAACCGTGCTGCGAAGGACTGAAAGAATTTTTTAGGGCTGAGTATACCTGGTCATAGACTACTTTTTCAAAAACTTTAGCCACTATACAGAGTTTAGAGACAGGTCTATAGTTAGTGACTTCTGTTTTTGCACCCTTTTTGTGGATAGGTGTTATGAAAGATGATTTCCACACCTTTGGGACAGAACAAGAGGACAAGGAATTCTTAAAAATTATAGAAATAGGTTGGGCAAGGGATGATGCACAGTGTACAAGAAGTTTTGGAGATATGTTATCCGGTCCTGGGGCCTTGGATGTATCCAGCTTTCGAATTAAGTCACCAACGTAGTCAACGTTTATTGTAATTTTACATAGGTCGGAAGTAGAGAGAGAATACCTGGATTTACGACTGTTATCGACTGTATTTGAAGACTTTTTAAGAAAGTTTGATTCAAAATAAGTAGAGAACGCGTCACATATTGATTCCCCTGTAAGCAAAGTTTGATTATTGTACGTTAAGGAGCTAGGGATCGAGTTAGATTTGTGACGGTTTTTGACAAATGTCCAGAAGTGTTTCGGATTAATCTTGATTGATGCCTCCGTAAGCTCCAAATAGGACGTATAACATTCAGACTCCATCATTTTAACTCGCGCTCGGAGGAGTTTAAACGCCAATTCATCTGACTTATTTCCATACGTCTTGAACTTTTTAAGGTACTTGTATTTTTCTTTCATTATTCTTATTAACGTAGGACTGTACCATATCGGATAAGACTTGTCATTAATGTATTTTTTTGGTATATATTTTTGTTGCAGATCAAGTATAATTTGATTGAAATGATCAACAGATTCGTCAACTGAGCGCATTGAGAACTCCGTGTCCCAATCAATGGAGTCTATATTGCTGTTAATGGCGTTATAGTCTCCCTTGTCATATGAGTAACGGGTACGCGGCGCATACCGTAAAGTTGTGGTTTCTGCGAAATTTATATTAATTAATAGTGCAGGGTGGTAATCATCAATAGGCACTAAGGGGTCCAAGCACTCAGTTATGTTTATATAATTATTGCAAAAAGCCAGATCCAATGTCTTACCGTACTTATTGACAGTGGCGTTACATTGTTCAAAATTTAAAGCAAATAGTTCATCAATCAATGAGTATTCATCGTATGTACTAAGGTTGGTAGGAACAAGACACTGATCAGTTGAAGGCTGCCAGTTTATTCCACTCATATTAAAATCACCCACAATAAGAAATGTATCCGACATATTGTTGACCACGGTGCGATTCAATTCGAAAAGAAAGTTAGCAAGTTGTGATGAAAATGAATATCCAAGGTTCTGTTTGCACAAGTAAATTACACAGAGGTAAAGATCAAAACAGACATGAGTGTCAGATCTTTTTAAGCGTATCCTTATCCATAGATCTTCCGCTGTAGAGTGAAAACTAGGTTGAGACATCGCTAGCATTTCCCTACGAACAGCAATCAGGACACCTCCACCTCTTGTCTGACCCGTGGTAACATATTCACGATCGCGACGCCACACAATATACCGATTGTCAAAGAGCTCCGAGTCTGTTATACCATCCAGCAGCCATGTCTCTGTGAGCATAATAACATCAAATGATGTACATAGCAGTTGACGATAGAATATATCATTTATAATGTCTTTGTCTGAATGCCAAGCTCCAGTTGTGTGGCTGGTGTGCTTGACTGGATGTGTGTTGTAAGCGTTGTAAAAATAAACACATAGTAGACTGTATATACTGTATTTCACTAGTTACAATGATTTATAAAAGGTGATGTGCACGCGTGGACATTTCTTGAGCGAGTGTCCGCCCGCGCCGAGCAGCTCTCGCCCGGCCGTTGTTGAAGGTCGCGGAACCGGTTTGGTGCGGGGGCCGCACAGCCCGATGAGACGCAGGAACATATTCCCCCGAGTTGAAGGCTGGAGGACTTCAAGACACTGGAAGAGGGCAGATATTATTAAAGGCACGGGTTATAATGCCCTTCTTCGTGCGTATTTCCGCAACTCTACAATGCCCGTCAGACCCGGGCTTGACGGTAACGACTCGACCCAGCATCCATAGAAGAGGAGGTAGGTAAGCGTCTTTCACCAAGACCATGTCTCCTGCCTTAAGGTCTTGTCCAGAGGTCTGCCATTTAGTCCTTTGCTGGAGAAGGGAGACGTACTCCTTTGAGAAGCGCTGCCAAAAATGCTGCCTCAACTTCTCGATACGGTCGAAGCGTGACAGTCGCGGTATGTTAACGTCACTGATGTTTGGTCGAGGAACTGACGTAAGAGCTCGTCCGAGGAGGAAGTGTGAAGGAGTAAGGCAACTTAGATCAGAAGGATCAGTGGATAGAGGTGTCAAAGGTCTGGAATTAAGAATAGCCTCCACCTGAGCCAGACACGTTGAAAGTTCTTCATATGTCAAGTGAGTTAAGCTCATTACTCTACGTAGAAGATGTTTCATTGACTTTACAGCCGCGTCCCAAATGCCACCAAAATGTGGGCTATATGCAGGTATAAATTTGAATTCAATGCCTTGATTTGCAATTTCAGACTCTATGACTTCAGAGGAAACCTGTAAAAAGCGTGAAAGCTCATTAAAAGCTCCCACAAAAGTAGTACCGTTGTCGGAATACACGCGCTGAGGCTTGCCCCGACGACTAATGAAACGGTTAAAGGCCGCAAGAAAAGACTCCTTTGTGAGGTCGGAGACCAACTCCAGATGCACGGCTCTGACTGCAAAGCATATAAAAACACAAATATATGACTTAATTAGTCTGCAACCCCTACCCTTTCGGTCGGCTATCAGCACTGGTCCGGCGTAATCAAGTCCTGTGTTTAGAAAAGGAAACTCAAGATGTGTTCTGTCACTAGGAAGGTTGCCCATTATGACCTGAACAGGTTTAGCTCTAAATCGAGCACAACGAACACAGTTACGCACTGTTTGTTTAGCTAGGTTTTTGCCTCCTAGAGGCCAGTAAGTG